GTTATGTAAATGATGTTTGTATCTTGATAAGGAAATATTTATTGACGCATTACTGAAATTGTAATTTTTTATGTTACATTTCAAAATAATTAAAACAAAATTTGAGCAAAACATTTCAAAATAAAATTAATTAATTTTATTTTTAAAATTAATTGATAAAATTAAGATTAATTTATGAAAGAATTGTTTTAATAAAATTTAATTAATCTTATCTCTTGAATGTTTTATGCTTTACATTAAAAATAGACAAGATTAGACATTGAATTACTATGTTTAAACATTTTTGATAAAATTTTTTATAAAATGATTTCTTAACTTTAAAATTCATAACTGATTTGATAAAATGATTTCCTAATTTTAATTTTTATATATTTTTATAATATATAATTTTATATTTTATATTTTTGCAATATCTCAAATATTATTTTATATAATATATTAAATATATATATGTAATATAAATCGAAAAACTTAGAAAAAAAATGAATTTTTTAAAATCTATCTATCTGAAATTTTCCAAAATTTATCTGAAATTTATCCAATAATTTCATAATTTTAAAAATTTATAAATAAATAATTTAGATATTTGATATTTCAAAAAAAAATTTAAAAATTCAGTTTACAGTTAATTTATAGTTATATTATTTAGATATTGATTATGAAAATATTTATGTTTCTATGTACACATCATATTTAGAAAAATATATTCTTGAATTATTTATAAATAAAATAATATAACTTCTAATCTTTTAACTTCTAATATAATTTAATAATCTTTTGATGAACTCTCGATATTTTATTCGTGATGAAGAGCAAAATATGATTTCTAATCGTTTATTAATTTTAATAATTCACACCATATTTCTAAGTAATATTTTTAAATAAGATTTTTAATTTCTTCTTAAATTAGGATCCGCAACCACCTCAGCCATGGACTGGTATCAAGGACACCTCCCAATTGAAGACATATATATGTTCACAGCAAGAAGAAGTTGAACCTTTTAAATTGTTCGGCAATGAAGATTGTCTTTACCTAAATGTTTACACTAATTCACTTAATCAATCGAAACCAGTTATGTTTTGGATACATGGTGGTGCATTTGTAGTAGGCAATTCAAGTTTTCAGGAAGGTTCAAGGCCTGATTATTTACTCGCAAAAGATGTCGTTGTTGTTTCAACTAATTATAGACTTGGGGCATTCGGTTAGTTTTATTTTGCTCATATATACATTTCCTTTTTTTCAAATTTTAAAAGTGTAAAATAAAGAAAAACAGCGAAAAAAATACTTTTCACTCAAAAATTTTAAAGTAAATTTTAAATTTTAAAGGATTTTTAAATCTTGGCCACCGAGTCGCGCCAGGAAATCAAGGGCTGAAAGATTTAATCGCTGCTTTGAAATGGGTTAAGGAAAACATTTCTAATTTCGGTGGAGATCCTAATAATGTTACTATTTTTGGCGCCAGCGCTGGAGGAGTTTTAGTTCATTCTTTGCTTTTATCGCCATGTGCACGCGGTAACAATCAATTTCGATTAATTAATTTTATGTTTTATGTAAGTGATTTGTCTAAAACTAATTTAATTAAAAATTTGAAAAAAAACTAACTTAATTAATTCTCCTATGCTAATTTATAGGATTATTCCACAAAGCGATTATGCACAGTGGATTGATACGATGTTCTTGGGCCATGAATCAAAGTCTTCCTGAACGTGGCTTCAAACTGGCTTCTCTTCTCGGAAAAGATTCTCGAGATCCTGAAGAGGTGATCGAATTTCTACGGACGGTGCCAGCTGAGGATATCGTCAAGGCTCAAGCTTCTATTCTTACGCGCGAGGCAAACAATTTTTTTTTCTTTTTTTAAATTTATATATTATTATTATATTATTATATTATTATATTATATTATATTATATTATCGCAATTATATTATCAGAAACAAAGAATGAAACAAACAAAAATTTCCTATTTCGTCTTGTAGGAATCGTTATCCCATAATCTTGCCTTTGGAATCAATAACGACGAGGTAGCAGAGAATCCTGTATTACCAGAATCTATCGAACAATTGTTGAAGAAAGATGCGAATGTCCCAGTCATAATTAGTTACACGTCGCACGAGTTCATTATGTTTATGAAAGGTGAATTTTATTTAGAAATATGAAATGATAATACACGAATATCGATATTATTATCGTTATTTTCTATTATCTTCAGATATAAGCGAAAAATCGTTGAACATTTATAACGAATATCTACCTATGCACGTGAAAGCTTTGGGGACATTAAAGAAGTTAGGAGATGCGGAGATAAAAAATTTATTCAATGCGGTAAAAGATCGATATTTTGGGGGAAAACCGATCGATAAAGAGAAATTATACGATCTATCAAATTTTATGACCGATACGTTCTTCGGTATTCCTGCGATGTTAATGTTAGAAGATCGAGTGAAAAGATTAACTGCGCCTAATTACTTTTGTAAATTTTCATACATTGGCAACGAGAAAACATCTACAGATCTTCTAGTAAAACGTCACATTTCTGGTGAGACCGTCATTTTTTTTTTCAATCTCTTATATCGCATAATCATATCATATCGCGGTATGCATTTTCTTATCAAAAGTAAAATATTTAATTTTTGTTCTCTTTTATTAAATTTTTAGGAGCATCTCACGTGGACGATATCGCATATTTATTATATTTACCGAAATGTAAAACTGAAAATCCTAATCCACCGGCGGTTGGAACGAAAGACAGGATCACGTTGGAACGAATGACTAGGATGTGGACCAATTTTGCTAAAACGGGGTAAATGTGAAACATGATTTTAAATTTTAATATACAAAGATATCTTTAGATACCTAGAGATCAGAGAAACAAACAAAATTTAAATACCAAAATATCTAAAATTAAAAATTTATTTGTTAAGTTTTAACAAGTAAAGATCCTTAATTTCAAAAATTCAAAAATTTTTAGTAAGTATGTATTACGTAATTTTTTTTTTCTGTAATCCTTATAAAAATTGATTTTAAATTTGTGTAATACACATCTATATAAATACTATTAATAAATATAGTTTCGTAATTTTTTTAATTTTTTCTTTCCTTGTAAATTTGCGTTAGATGAAGCGAGACGGAAATAGACAACTTTATCTCTTTTACACTATTTTATCTTATTTTCTTTTCGCTTTAATTAAATTGTTAACTTAATAAATAAATCTCAATCGAAACTTTTGTATATCAACATTTGTATTTTGAATCGATTTTACAAAAAAAAAAAAATTATAAAAATATTCTACGAATATCTCATGAAAAAAAATAATTAATGATTATATTTTGTATGTTTAATTTAGGAAACCTACTTCGATTCAAGACGAGTTTGTTAATGCTGATTGGAAACCTGCAACGGTGAATGATTTTTGTTATTTGGACATAGGAAATGAATTGTGTCTATTGCCTCTTCCATCACATCTTTTATCATCCAAATTATTTTAGTGAATGAAAAATTAATATTTTTCAAATTTTAATTTTTTTTCCTTCATATAATTTTAATTTTTTAATTTTATATATAATTTACGATAATATGTACATGTATTAACCATTTTCTTATTTTGATTTAAATATATATATGTATATATATATATATATATA